TTTAGGGGACTTTTTTTTATTTTTACTTTCACTTAATTTTTCGCATATAATTTTTAATATTTTATAATGTTACTTTTTTATTTTTTATTTTTATTGGTTATGTTTTCCCTTTATATTAATTTATATAATTTATAATTAATTTTTGGTATTAGTATTTAATAAAGGAGTCAATACTATAATTTTAGTATATATTTTTATTTCTATTTTATATTTAGGTTCCTAATCTCCCAATCAAAAAACTACAAACTGTGACAATTATCCTTCTGGAAAGTCTTTAAAAAAATATATAATACCTTACCTTCATCAGATTGAGTTAAGGTTATTCAGTTTTGTACAATCTGCTCCGAAACGGTAAAGGTTTAATAATAAATTATTTGAAAATTGATTATTTTAATAAAGAAATATTATCAATTGCACAGAAGAATAATCATAATTTATAGTTTTAAATAATTTGTTTCACAGTTTTTTAATAATTGATATCAGTTTTTATCTCAATTTTTCAGTTTTTAAAGTTTAAAATAAGAATATTTTTTATTTTTTGTTAGATATTACCGTTATAGTGGTTTTAGTGTCTAATAACACTTATCTTTGTTGCATGGTCATAAGGTAACCGCTAAATTGGTCCATGAATTTGATATGAGCCCATTCAAAAAATATTGAAATATAAATTTTTTATTTAGGGAAATTTGTCAATTTGCATTTAGATCGAATATATCTCAAAGGATGGAAAGGGTTAAAAGCTAAAGAATTAAGTTCCATTAATATAGATTTTTTAAAAATAAGGTCATGCCCCCAATATATTATTGATTTTATTTTAAATATATATTTTCAAATTGAAAAAAAATTATTAATTTTTGATATTAAAAAGATAATTGTAGATTTGATATAAAATTATAAATATTTATATATCCGTAAGAGGGCGTTATATGCGTAAATATGTAAGTATCATTTTAGGAAACCGGAATGATGATTGGATAGCGCTTTTTTTATATTTGGGTATATATACATATGAAAAACCTAAAAATTAAAAAAAATAATTTAGGTTTATTTGATGTTTAATTTATGAGTAGGCTTAGAATAGTAAAATAATGGAAATTTTCTAAGGTAAATATTGCTGGCGTTATTTATCAAAATCTCTTAATTTTTGTTTTATATGTGTATATTTACGTACTAAGCATTATCCTAAAAAAAATTTTTAAAAATAATTTGATTTGATCGATTGCCGAGCTTAAAGCCGACCACTTACTATTCGATTGACCAAATTTACTAGTAATATAATTTGAAAAATGTTGATTTTTGTTTTATATATCTATAAATACGTATAAAACATAATCCCAAAAAATATTTTTATAATATCGCTATTTGGCGGATAACCGACCCAATGACTAAATACTGTTGCTGGCGTTTTAAATCAAAATATCTTAATTTTTGTTTTATATGTGTATATTTACGTGCTAAGCATTATCCTAAAAAAATTTTTTGAAAATTATTTGATTTGCCCGATTGCCGAGGTTAAAACCGACCACTTACTAAATATTCGATTGACCAAACTTACTAGTAATATAATTTGAATAATGTTGATTTTCGTTTTATTTATCTATAAACACGTATAAAACATAATCCCAAAAAATATTTTTAAAATATTGCTATTTGGCGGATAACCGACTCGTAGCCCACCCAATGACTAAATAATGAATTGCTGGCGTTTTAAATCAAAATATCTTAATTTTTGTTTTATATGTGTATATTTACGTACTAAGCATTATCCTAAAAAATTTTTTGAAAATAATTTGATTTGAACGATTGCCGACCTCAAAACCGACCACTTACTAAATATTCGATTGACCAAATTTATTAGTAATATAATTTGAAAAATGTTGATATTCGTTTTATATATCTATAAATACGTGTAAAACATAATCCCAAAAAATATTATTAAAATATCGCTATTTGGCGGATAACCGACTCGTAGCCCACCCAATGACTATATATTTAATTTTTCTCTATTCTATATCATCAAAAGCATTCAAAAAATAAAAGATAATTTTATTAAATTATTGTTAAACTAAAATACATTTGATTCATTAATTGTAATAAAAACAAAGGCGCATAAATATATATAATTAAATGAGGATCAGATATTTTCTACTATCTTAATCTATATTTGATATTATCATTTCCTCATATAATTCAAAAAAAATTAACAAAATAGAAATTATGAATAAGAAATTAAATATAATATTGTAATGTATACGATATGAATAAAAATCAAAAACAAATTTAGTACCTATGCGCGATGCGAATAAAAAAAATATCAGTAAACATAATTTTTTTGGATAAAATCAAAAAAAAAGGGGATTGATAAAGTTGATTATATGATGGAGTATTTAATGATTAGGATGAAGCAGTCTGTCTGATACAAAAATTTATTGTAAAATTAAAAGATTTATTTGATATATATATGAAAAAGAGTACGACGTTAAAGGGCCTTATTATTTTTCAATTTTAATTTTTTTATTGATACTGTCCTATTTTTTTTTATTCTAATTTTTTGACAAGGTTTTTTAGAATTTTTAGGCTTTAAAAGTATTAGCTACCCACATGATGACATTACTTTTTCTCTTTCCCGTTTTTTACTATCTTTTATTAAAATTTCTACCTCATATTTTTTATCTTCCTCACTATATTTCTCCCAAAGTGATAAATCTATTTGAAATGACTTATACCCCTCAGCCAAATAAAATTCTCCTACTCCTATCAAAGTTCTTTCAAGATCTTTTTCTTGTAAATCCTTAGCACGTAAATATACACGTATAAAACAAAAATTAAGATATTTTGATTTAAAACGCCAGCATTCGTTATTTAGTCATTGGGTGGGCTACGAGTCGGTTATCCGCCATATAGCGATATTTTAAAAATATTTTTTGGATTATGTTTTACACGTATTTATAGACAAATAAAACGAAAATCAACATTTTTCAAATTATATTACTAATAAATTTGGTCAATCGAATATTTAGTAAGTGGTCGGTTTTGAGCTCGGTAATCGGTCAAATCAAATTATTTTCAAAAAATTTTTTAGGAATAATGCTTAGTACGTAAATATACACATATAAAACAAAAATTAAGATATTTTGATTTAAAACGCCAGCAATTCATTATTTAGTCTGGGTGGGCTACGAGTCGGTTATCCGTCAAATCACGATATTTTTAAAATATTTTTTAGAATTATGTTTTACACGTATTTATAGACATATAAAACGAAAATCAACATTTTTCAAATTATATTACTAATAAATTTGGTCAATCGAATATTTAGTATGTGGTCGGTTTTGATCTCGGCAATCGGTCAAATCAATTTATTTTCAAAAAATTTTTAGGGTAATGCTTAGCACGTAAATATACACATATAAAACAAAAATTAAGATATTTTGATTTAAAACGTTAGCAATTCATTATTTAGTCATTGGGTGGGCTACGAGTCGGTTATCCGCCAAATAGCGATATTTTAAAAATATTTTTTGGGATTATGTTTTATACGTATTTATAGATATATAAAACGAAAATCAACATTTTTCAAATTATATTACTAGTAAATTTGGTCAATCGAATATTTAGTAAGTGGTCGGTTTTAAGCTCGGCAATCGGTCAGATCAAATTATTTTCAAAAAATTTTTTTAGGATAATGCTTAGTACGGAAATATACACTTATAAAACAAAAATTAAAAGATTTTTATAAATAACGCCAGCAATATTTACCTTAGAAAATTTCCATTATTTTACTATTCTAAACCTATTCATAAATTAAACATCAAAGAAACCTAAATTTTTTTTTTAATTTTTATGTTTTTTATATGTATATATACCCAAATATAAAAAAAGCGCTATAAAATGATACTTACATATTTACGCGTATAACGCCCTCTTACTAATATATATTTGTTAATTTTTAAAATTGAAAAAAATTTATTTATGTTTTAATAAGCTATGAAAAAATTTCTTTTATAATAATATTAACTCTAAATAAAATTATATATTATATGATATTTAATCAGTATCCTTTATTTAATAAAAAAATAATTTAAGTATATTTTAAAAAAAGTTTTAAAAATTTTCATTAAATAAAATATACATAATAAAATTTTGATTGATTTATGATTTATTATGATTAATTGCTTTTTAGCAATTCATTTTAACAATTCAGTATAAAATTTTATATATAAAGTTGAATATTTAGAGTTCATGTAAAATTTTAATATGTATAAGATGAGATTATATGATGTATTTTTTAGGAGTATAAACATAGAGAAGAAAAATGTAATATGAAGAAGAAAAAGAAAGGGAAACCTTAAAATATATAATTTTTTAGTAATTATTTTATATATTTTTTGATTTTATATTTTTAGTTTTGATTTTATATTTTTTTTGATTTAATATTTTTTTTGATTTAATATTTTTAGTTTTGATTTAATATTTTTTTTTTGATTTTATATTTATTTTTATTTTATATTTTTAAGTTTTAGTTTATTTATGTTATTTTAGATTTCGATTATATTTAATAAATAAATTGACATCTTCATTCGTGTTCATATTAAATATTCAACTTCTAACAATCTTAATAAAAATATGGCAAATAAATTTTATAATACTCTCATTGGAAAAAATTATATAGAAGGATATAATACTGAGCTACGATTTAAATAAAAGAGTAGTTTATTTAACTTTTTTTAGATAAAGTGTATTAAAAATTAATAAAGCTACCTCTTTAAATTGTAATTTTAGTGGGCTATTTTTTTGAAAATGGGCTACTTTTAATTAATTAAGAACATTGGCAATATTAATAATTTAGTAGGCAATATTATAATATATAATTATGAAACATATTAGAAAAATTAATTTAAGAAAATAATAAAATAATCCTAAGAAGTAATTTATTTATAATTCCTAATACTTATTTATAATTCCTAATACTTATTTATAAACCAGAAATAAACATGATATTACTTGTCTTCTCTCAATATAAATCCAGAATTACATCTGCACAGTTTATTTTGAAACATTCCAACGTAGCATTCATGCTCACATCCACCATTTGTTGAAAAACATGGATCTAAAATACATTTTTTTCCATTAGTAGGATCAAGTATGTAATTGGTACGACATGAACATTCAACCAGGCCACTATCCATGTAAATATTACATCTTGTAGAACAATTCCCCAGATTGACACTACATGCACTAAACCAACAATGATGTTTATCTGTGCTAAGATAAGTTATATCATTGCAATCACAAAGTCCTGTTTCTATATTACAACAAGTGGAATTATCTGGATCTAGAATGTATCCATCATTACACCCACAGATATAGGAACTTTTATAAGGAATGCATATATGTGCACAAATTTTATATTTTATTTTAGTGCAAGGATTTTCTATGCAATTTTTTCCATCTTCCATTAAAATAAAACCATCTTCGCATAAACATTTTATTACGCCAGTATATTTATCGATTTCGCATGTTTTTTGGCATCCTCCATTATTTATTTTACAATTATCTTTAAAGCAACTTTTGTTATCATTTGCCAATAAAAAACTAGATTCACATTTGCATACACTAACACCTAATTTTACATCAACAACACAGTTGTGGCCACATTTATCTTCATCATCTCTGAATTTGCATATATTAGAGGTGCACCATGTTTTTTCATTATTTAAGATAGCAAACTCATTATTGCATTTACAATTTTTACCCTGGCTATCGCAACATGCCATAAAATTTAAAGCTTGAGGCTGCAAAATATTTCTACACCCGCACATAGAACTACCATCTTTTGCATTAAACTTGCACTCTTCTGCACATCCACCATTATTTATTGAACATGAATTAAAATAACAATGAATTCCATCATTTCCCAATATAAAAGTGTTATTATAACAAGCGCATTTAAATCTATTTGATACGTTGTCATATTTACAAATATGTTCACATGTTTTGTTGCATTCATCTTTTACACAATATTTTCCAGATTCTATTGAGACATAATTTTCTAAACAGGCACAATTTGTACTACCGTCGAAATAATTAATTTCACACGATTGATTACAAACTTTCTGCAAGCATTTATTAGAGAAACATGTTTTGCCGTCTGATCCTAATATAAAATTAGGTAAACAATAACATTTGGGGATGTCATCTATAAATGAGCAATTGTGACTGCAATTCTTGCTAAAGCATGGGTTATCTATACAGGTAATTTGATCATTAGCCAAAATTTTTTCTAATGGACATAAACATTTTGGTATACCGTCATATACTTGGCAACTATAGGTACATTTAATTTCATTACACAAGTCATTTGTACATATACGCTCATTTATCTGAATTTGTTTAATATCATTGCAGGTACATTTTATTCTTCCAAAATCATTAATACATTTATCTGCACATTTTAAATATTCAACAGAACACATGTCTTTATAACAACTTTTATTAGATGAAACAATAAATGTGTCCTGACATACACAACTTTCTATATTTATTTTTGAACAAATTGGCATACATTCTTTATTTTCACATTTACATGTTTTCAAATCTTCCTTCATTATAGCCCCTTTTCTACAAGAACAGTTAATATTACCTTTAATATCCATTTTGCAAAAATCTGAGCATCCTCCATTATTTAATTTACAAAAATCAAAACAACACATTGTATTATCGTAGCATATATAAAAATTATTAGGGCATACACATGATTTAATATTATTTTTTAAACAACAAATTCTTTGATCTTTTCCAAGTATATAATTATTTTTACACGAGCAAACAAATTTATCATTAAGGGGAATACATATCTGAGAACAAGAATGCCCATCAATTATGCATCTATTGTAAAAACAAGATTTTTCGTCAGTTCCCAAAACAAAATTACTTGGACATAGGCATATTTTACCTTTGGTACTCTTAATACACTTGTAGACACATCCTCCATTTTCGATAGAACATAAATCATTTAGACACTTATTTCCTTTAATTAATATTGAAGTAGAATTACACTCACAATTGTCATATATGCCATTGGTAAAATCTTTACAACATGAGGATTTATCAGAATGTAAGAAATATCCGATTTTGCATTGACAGTATATTTTTTTTTGAAACTCAAAACAAATTTGAGAACACTGGTTTATTGTACATGGTTTATATAACGGGCATAACATACTAAATTTTGTGATAATATTTTTACAATCACAATTAAAACATTCTTTGTCAATTTTACAATATTTTTTCATGTACATATCTAAATATAAATTCCTATTGTAAGGACATAAACAGTCTTCTTCATCTGCTAAACATTTTTTAAAAATTTGATTGATATCTGCATCTGTATCCACACATATATTAATTTTACACCTTCTTGTTAAAATATCATAAATGTATCCTTCTCCACATTCACAGATATTATTCAAACAACAAGATTTTTTATCATCTGAAATTTCATATCCTTTCTTACATGAGCATTTTATAATTGAATTCATTAGTTCACATATATGAGCACAACCTCCATTATAATTATCACAAGGATTCATGATACATTTTTTATTTAAATTAGAATAGACACTAGGAAATGCGCAGTAACAATAATCCCTATAAGTATTACAACAACTTCTTTTATCATCTTGAAGTATAAAATTGCTATAACACGAACAAGTATAACCTATTAATCCAGTTGATTTACATATCTGAGAACAAGGATAATTAAACTTGCTACATTCATAATTATCATCTATCAATTTTAAATCATTTTTATCAAATATCATGAGTGTATCTTCGTTTACATTATTTTTAAATGATTGGTAACAAGTTGAGTTTATATAAATAGAATCTTTTCCACAAACACAAGTTATATTGTTGTAATAACAACATGATCTTTTATCATTCATTAATTGAAAATTCGAGTAACATGAACACATGACTTCGTTTCCATTAAATGAGCATGCCTAAATAATGAAATAATGATTTAATACTTAGTGAGTTAAAATTATATATATTTAAGAAGTTAATAAATATTGTCAGTAAGACGTTGCTTAATTTTATACCAAGATTTCTTATATCGAGATAACATAGAAACAAAAAAGATTTGGGGTATAACTTATGATACTTAATTTTAATAACTCTATTATAGATATTATATTTTATAGTTTCAATTAAAATCGATAGGTTTCTTAATATATTTTAAATTAAATTAAATTTGCATACATTTATATTTGTTGCGTTATAAATTTGTATTGCCCTAGTATTTTAGAAGTATCTGCACTCATCCCCCCCCCCGCTATAGAAATTACAAAATAAATAAGCATAAGTTATATTTTTATAATAATGACATATTTTTTTGAGAACAAGGAACATAAAATTAAAAAAAAACAATTATTTTTAAATAATGTAATACACGTCTGTATCCCAAGCTGAGCCTCGCACTTGCATCGGGTTAGGACATTTAAGATATATTTTCTAGGGTTCAGGTGACTGGAAGAGATGCCCCACCCGAAGCCCGACCCGATCTTATAAATAAATATGAAAATGTAAATATTCTCAATAGTATAAATATCTCTTGTTTCATAAAAATGTCTATCAGAATAACTGATGATATGTCTTTTTAATATTTCATTATTATATTTTTTGGAAATTTTTTCTATATATTAACAATTATATCATCTTTTTCAGATAGTTAAAAATAATGTCGGGCTTGAACTCGGGTCGGGTTGAACCTAAAAATGTGTGCTCGGGCTAGGGTCAGGATCGGACAAAAGTTTTTAAAATTTTGGATCGGTTCGGACTTGGGCGTCGAAAAAATCAAAGGTTCTAAACACGACCAAGTGTCTACAAAAATGGTTCTTAGCTCTGTGTTTGAGAGATATCAGGGTTAAATATTTAAATGTCATAATTTTCAGAACTCAAAAATAGTGTTGTTAATCGGCTTAGCCGAGTCGGCTCGAACAGAGCTCACCCAAATTTTGGGTCGTTTTTTTCGACTCCAACTCAAAGTTTTGGTCGTTTTTTACGACTTCGACCCGAGTTCAAGCCGAAAAAAACGACTTCGACCCAAAATATGGGTCGTTTTTTTCGACTCCGACCCAAGTCCAAGCCGAAAAAAACGACCTCGACCCAAAATATGGGTCGTTTTTTACGACTCCGACTCAAAATTTGGGTTGTATTTTTCGACTTAAACTTGAAATTTGGGTCGTATTTTTCGACTCAAACTTGAAGTTTGGGTCATATTTTTCAACTCAAACTTGAAGTTTGGGTCGTATTTTTCGACTCAAACTTGAAGTTTAGATCGTATTTTTCGACTCCAACTCAAAGTTTGGGTCGTTTTTCTGACTCAGACTCAAACATCGGGTCGTTTTATTCAATCCGACCCAAAATATGGATCTTTTTTTTAAAGACGACTTAAAGTTAGGGTTGCTTTTTTTCACCCCTAACCCAATATCTAGATCATTTTTTTCGACCAAAAGTCAAATAACATTTAGTATATATTAATATTATCGGCCAGAAAGTTACTTAAAGCTTCTTTAAATTATAATATTCATCATAGTTATATTTTAAAATTTTTAAGTGAAGATGTACCATAGAAAAGTGCCATTTGTCATGATAGTTATTTTTGAACTTTTTTAAATGAAATAGATAAAAATATATATTGTAGACATATTGAATCAAAATTTCAGTGATGATGTACCATATAGATAAGTGGTAATTGTCATAATCGCTATTTTTGAACTTTTTTGAGTTTTTTTAAAGCAATTTGCTAAAAATATATATTCTAAACATTTTAAATTAAAAATTCAGTGAGGATGTATCATAGATAGGTGACAATTGTCATAATCGCTATTTTTGAACTTTTTCAAATTTTTTTAAAGGAAATAGCTAAAAAAAATATATATTCTAAACATGTTAAATTAAAAATTCAGTGAGGATGTATCATAGATAGGTGACAATTGTCATAATCGCTATTTTTGAACTTTTTCAAATTTTTTTAAAGGAAATAGCTAAAAATATATATTCTAACATGTTAAATTAAAAATTCAGTGAGGATGTATCATAGATAGGTGACAATTGTCATAATCGCTATTTTTAAACTTTTTCAAATTTTTTTAAATGAAATATCTAAAAATATATATTCTAAACATGTTAAATTAAAAATTCATTGAGGATGTATCATAGATAGGTGACAATTGTAATAATCGTTATTTTTGAACTTTTTTTAATTTTTTTAATACAAATAGCTAAAAATATATATTCTAAACATGTTAAATTAAAAATTCAGTGAGGATGTATCATAGATAGGTGACAATTGTCATAATCGCTATTTTTATTTTTAGATATTTCCTTTAAAAAAATTTGAAAAAATTCAAAAATAGCGATTATGACAATTGTCACCTATCTAAGATACATCCTCACTGAATTTTTAATTTAACATGTTTAGAATATATATTTTTAGATATTTCCTTTAAAAAAATTTGAAAAAGTTCAAAAATAGCGATTATGACAATTGCCACCTATCTATGATACATCCTCACTGAATTTTTAATTTAACATGTTTAGAATACATATTTTTAGCTATTTCCTTTAAAAAAATTTGAAAAAGTTCAAAAATAGCGATTATGACAATTGTCACCTATCTATGATACATACTAACTGAATTTTAAATTTAACATGTTTAGAATACATATTTTTAGCTATTTCCTTTAAAAAAATTTGAAAAAGTTCAAAAATAGCGATTATGACAATTGTCACCTATCTATGATACATCCTCATTGAATTTTTAATTTAACATGTTTAGAATATATATTTTTAGATATTTCCTTTAAAAAATTTGAAAAAGTTCAAAAATAGCGATTATGACAATTGTCACCTATCTATGATACATCCTCACTGAATTTTTAATTTAACATGTTTAGAATATATATTTTTAGCTATTTCCTTTAAAAAAATTTGAAAAAGTTCAAATATAGCGATTATGACAATTGTCACCTATCTATGATACATCCTCACTGAATTTTTAATTTAACATGTTTAGAATATATATTTTTAGCTATTTCCTTTAAAAAAAATTGAAAAAATTCAAAAATAGCGATTATGACAATTGTCACCTATCTATGATACATCCTCGCTGAATTTTTAATTTAACATGTTTAGAATATATAATTTTAGCAATTTGCTTTAAAAAAACTCAAAAAAGTTCAAAAATAGCGATTATGACAATTACCACTTATCTATGGTACATCATCACTGAAATTTTGATTTAACATGTCTACAATATATATTTTTATCTATTTCATTTAAAAAAGTTCAAAAATAACCATCATGACAAATGGCACTTTTCTATGTTACATCTTCACTTAAAAATTTTAAAATATAACTATGATGATAGTTAATCAGCGCATTATAATTTAAAGAAGCTTTAAGTAACTTTCCCGCCTATAATATTAATATATAACAAATGTTATTTGACTTTTGGTCGAAAAAAATGATCTAGATATTGGTAGGGGTGAAAAAAAGCAACTCTAACTTTAAGTCGTCTTTAAAAAAAAGATACATATTTTGGGTCGGATTGAATAAAACGACCCGATGTTTGAGTCTGAGTCAGAAAAACGACCCAAACTTTGAGTTGGAGTCGAAAAATACGATCTAAACTTCAAGTTTGAGTCGAAAAATACAACCCAAACTTCAAGTTTGAGTCGAAAAATATGACCCAAACTTCAAGTTTGAGTCCAAAAATACGACCCAAATTTCAAGTTTGAGTCAAAAAATACCACCCAAATTTTGAGTCGGAGTCGTAAGAAACGACCCATATTTTGGGTCGAGGTCGTTTTTTTCGGCTTGGACTTGGGTCGAAGTCGAAAAAAACGACCCATATTTTGGGTCGAAGTCGTTTTTTTCGGCTTGAACTCGGGTCGAAGTCGAAAAAAACGACCCAAACATTGAGTCGGAGTCGAATAAAACGACCCGAGCTTTGGGTCGGGGTCGCGACTTGCGGCGTTTTAACAACACTACTCAAAAACAAAGATTACTCTATATTTAATGGTAGAAACCTATATTTGATATAATTAAGAGCCCTGAGTAAAATCATAAATATAATTAATAATTTTTTTTTTTTATGAAAAGCAATTAAATTTCCAAAGATATAGCTAATCTCGAGGATAATAAGGTGGATATAAAATTTATCAACTACTAATAAAGATCGCAATCATTTATTGCAGGCGGGTAATGAGGTTAAAAAAATGTAAAATTTATTAAATTTATTTGGTGATTAAAAAATAATGAACAATTTTTATTAATTAAATATTCTGAAAAATTATCAAAATTAATTATAATTTATAAATATAAATTTTTAAATGCTATTATAAAAAAAATTATAATTATATAACTGGTATAACAACCGAGTTTTAATCTAAAAACTTAGCCGTTTTAGAAAACGCAAAAAAAAGCTATTACCTAACTATTATGCAAAATAAATGCGTGAATAAATATGTATAAAAATATAAATTTTTTGAGCATTTGTGATGTAATTAATTTATAAAAATAAATGAAAAATGCCCAATTCCTAATATATAGATTATATTTAAAAAATTATGTTTTTCCTTGTGTTGTGTTTTTTAAATAAATATATAGTTTCCCATAAGAGAACCTATTATGTTTTACTACTTTATTTATATTTAATTAATTAATCAATTGAAAAAACAAGGGGGAAATTTTATATTTCTCGAATAATATTGTATTAAATAATTTATTGATAGTGGTGTTGTTAAACAGCTCGATTTTTACAACCGGCCTCAATATTTAAACCAAAAAAAAAATTAAGCAAGCCTCAAGATTTTGCTAAATAGATGATTAAGCTTTTATACTATCTATGAGCAAATCTAGACTTGAGCAATATTTTGGCTATAATAATAGCCGTTTTATATAATCGAAAAATAACATTCATTGATAGTTATATGTA